ATACACACACACAAAGAAAAACAAGTAGATAGAATAGAAAAAATAGAAAGCTAGTGTTTTTTTTTTTTTGTTTTGTTTTTTTAAATAAATAATAATAATAAAAAAAAGATAAATATAGATAAATTAGAATTAAAATAGAATAAAAATAATACTTAAGACCAACTTTTTTTTTTAAAGAGGTGGTCGGTAACAACAAAAACCTGTAACAACATTACAAACAAAAACGGTTGGCTGTGTCTGGCGCCGACGCGATCGTGATTGGCAGGACTCTGCCACCGACGCAGCTGATTGGCTAGTTACAATTCAAACGCACGTCCTCCTGGCTGTCTCCGCCCCTCGTCTATTTCCGGCGTGGAAGACCCCTGAAGCTCCCGAAGGCGGGCGAGTGTGGCTTCATTCATTCGCAGCTCGCGCGGCTCAACGCTTTGGACGCTGTCCTGACCGCTCCTTTTAAAAGGGTAACGTTTTAAATCTCTCTCATTTATTTCAAAGCTAGCTCTAGTAATTTCCATTCTCTGCAAGAACAAAAATAAGAAAACAGGAATAGGAGTGATTAGTTTGTTTTGGGGCACACTCGAACGGGATTAACAAACACTAAACATATTGGCGGGCTCGTGTGGCGCGTTGTTCGTTGTTCGTTGTAACTTATTACTTGCGCAAAGTTACAGTAAGTTAACGCAGTCCACGTCCTTCTCGAAGAAACGTTGTTTTTATATACAGCAAACATCGCAATTCTTTTAAAATTCAACTTTTGGGGGTTTCAAAACAAAGGGCTAAAATCGTTCAGACGACGTTTTACACAAAGCAATGGTCTTACGCTTGGTTTTGGTTTGCTATTTCTATTTTTTTTAATCGATTAAAGCTCTTCGCAGTGTAAACAACAGAATCGTGTTTTCACGCGCTCGGGGATTTAAAAGGGCGCGAATCGCGCGCTGTGTTCGTGTTCCGGTTCGCACTGGATCCGCGGGGTATCCGTAGAAACCGTTCGCCTCTTAGCTTTCTCTTTTAAAGCTCCGCTGCAGCACAGCGAGAACCTACGACGGATTTCAGATCTGCGATTTTAAGGTATTGTCATATTGTTTAAACGGACACGCCGCTACTCAAATATTTTCTTGTTGTAGCCGACATGTGTCGGGTTTGAGTTCGCGCGAGCTCGGGCCTAGCGCGTGTGGTAAACAAACGGGAAGCCGGTCGCTCCGCGCGCTCGTTCATTACGCTCCCTGCGAAGTTAATTTCGACTTTTTACCAAACGAGCGCGTGGTAATTTATTTAAAGTTTTGTGCTTTCACCAGATATCGTGTTTGTTGATCGATTGTGCTTATCGAGCGACTCTGTTTGCATGCAGATTTCCAGTAAAGCGCAATGAGTGATTCCGGCAAGGACACAGCGGCTCCTAAAGAGAAAGACGGAGCGGAGAAGAGAGGACGCGGAAGACCACGGAAACACCCACAGGTAGCGCTCTGCTTCATATGGGCCACTCTGGCTTTCAGTGGGCCGGTATAGTTCATATTGATGAGACCAAAACACTGCCTTTATTTTGTGTTTCTGGCTAAAATTATGCTTGCGTGCGTTTTATTGTTTTGAGGTCTTGCACATGGGCTGAGGACATCCAAACCATTTTTTGGAGTGTGTTACTTAATCTCGTAAAGCTCTTAACCAATAGGCTATATTAAGATCTTTGAATGGTGCATCTTCAACTCGATTGCACACGCTGAACATGTGCAGTGGTCATCTGTAGTGGCAGAATGACCAAGGCCTGTAACATGATCTCTTTAAAGCAGCAGTAACCCACTTACTGTTTCAGCTGCGCACTGATTGGCCGCTGGGAAATGCCAGCATCTGATTGGTTCATCCCGCTGTCAGTCATAGAAACTTTAAACCCAATGCACTCTTGAGGCCCTATTACTCACCCATGTACTCAGAGCCTTTGAGTAGTAATCCATGGCCACCATCATACAACAAGCTGGATTACTTATTAAGCGCCACTGTCTTAGCTTCTTTAGTGTGTGTGTTATTTATATAAAGCCATAGCTCCTTACTACACCACAAAAGAACAAGTACACTAATAATGTGTGCTACAGAAAAAAGCAAACAATCACGCATGTATCTTTTGTAAATTTGTAGGTATTTCATTCTGATTTTTATCCAAGTGGATCACATCTGTTTCACATGCTTAAAGGCAGCAAGGTTAATAGCTCTAGCAGATTTTCAGTTTGTGCATTTGTAAGTGGTTAGTTTCAGAAATTGGTAGGATGCAACTGCTTTTAAGTTAGTTTTTCATCCAAATCTCCCTTTTTTCAGGCTCTGTTTTGTATTGTGTAGTTGTAAAATTGTCAAATGACTGAAAGGCTATACATGTTAACAAGTGTGCTGATCTTTCACACTCTCTTCTCTGTAAATCAAATGACGTAGATGTTAGTCTACATTGACGTGAACTTGGTTTCCTGTCCTTGAGAAGACTGAAGCAGACTTGATATGCATTATTTGCAGTTGGCTTACTCTATCCATTTGCATGAAATATTCTTTACACTGACCCTGAGCGGCTCATTTAACTGGTATGACACTGATAGTTGGCCTGTGGTGGTCTGCAGTGTATTCGGTTCTCTTTTGGCGACCAATGACTGCATGCCACCTGTTGGTCTTAAAGTAGCAACCACTTGTTAACTATGAACAGCAAATGCTTTGTAAGTTATCCACCAGTAGTATGTGGAAACCCACAGTTGACTCAAGTCTGTGCACATATTTTGGTGTTTCTGATTACATATTCTCAATATTCTAGCAGCAGGAGGCAAGTGGATCTCCCACACCGAAGAGACCTAGAGGAAGACCAAAGGGCAGCAAGAACAAGCCAAGCTCCACGGCACATCGGGGCAAAGTGAGTAGACATGTCTCGGTGGTTTTGTGCACAACTACCTCCTGTACAATGTTACCATCAAAGACAAACTGACAAACCTGCATCTGTCTTCCGGCCCGATGAGTTTACACGCTAACAATCAAAAGTTCTTATTGGTGTCTGTGGTTCCATAAAGAACATTTCCACGGAATTGCACAAAGTTCTTTATAGAGGAAGAAGGTTTTTTAGGTCGTCACATAAAGAAAAAGATTCGGTGACACTATTTTAAGGTGTCCTTGTTGCATAAGTTACATGTACTTACTATTATAATAGCAATAAATTATGCATAATTACATGCAAGTAACCCTAAGCCAAACCCTAACCCTATAGTAAGTACATGTAGTTAATTAATATTACTCAGTACTTGAATGTGGAATTACACTGCAACAAGGACACCTTAAAATAGTGTAACCAAAGATTCTTCTAAGAACTATTGTTAACACTATTTTAAGGTGTCATTGTTACATATGTTACATGTACTTACTGTTATAATAACACTTAATTATGAATAATTACATGCAAGTAATCCTAACCATATGGTAAGTACATGTAGTTAATTAGTACTTAAATGTGTTACACCGTAACAAGGAATAGTGTTATAAAATAGTGTAACCAAAGATTCTTCTAAGAACTGTTTACTGAAAGGTTCTTTTTGGAACCTAAAACGGTGGTTCTATGGAATCACTGCAAATCCCCACTTTTGGAACCTTTAATTTTAAGTGTAATTCTGCCCAATTTGCTTTTTTTGCTTCAGTGTAAACATGCTTGTTTACAGTCAAATTCTTGGCTCCTCATTATTATTATTATTATTATTTTTAAATGTGCGACCTGAACAGTCTTCTGTTTTTGTTAGAGCGTGCAGATAAAACCAGTTGCTCAATTCCGGTTAAATCTTTTGACTTCCTGCTGGCTTCCTGTGGCATAGCAGGCGCTGTGCATTGCAGGTGCACTGGCAGCAGTGCAGTCTCTGAGATGATAACCCCGCCCTTCCATCCCCTCCATCTATTGTTATGACAGCTGACCCACCAACCCTTCCCCCCAATATGCACACCACCTCTCCCTTTGTTTGTGTGTGCATGCGCGTGTTGCCGTTTCTCTCGCCCGCTTGTACCAGCTGTCTCTCAGCTCCGGACCAGGTGGCTGGCGAACTGAAGTGCACTGCATGCTGCTCGTGTCCGTTTCCAATATAATAGCCAATGAACTCGCTGCCCCTGGGCTGCCTGCCAGCAAGAGCCCAACAGCGCTCTCTGGTGCTCAACTGCATGCGTAGCACAATGTTTATTCTCTCTTTCTCTTTCAGAAAACGGCAACGGCTTCGGCACCTGCAGGGACGAAACGCCGAGGACGGCCCAAGAAAGCAGTGAGTTTTCATTTGTCTTCCGTTTTGTGTATTTCATGTGCGTTTATAGCGAAAACCGCAAGGCTGAACGGGTGTTTGTGTGGTGGGAAGTTGCCACGGGCAACAACAAAAATATTTGGCTGCTTCTCACGAGGGATTTCTTGCAGTTCTTTCTCCCCCTTCGTTTCTCTTGTAGGTCTTGTTTATAAGAACAGATCAAATATCTTGAAGCCTTTTATTTTGCTGTTAAGTCAGTTTGGCATGTAATCGGGCAGAGCCCAGTGCCGCCCCCCGTTTCCTCGACAGCTCACTGTGTAGTCATCAGCCCCGTGTCTTTGTGCTGCATTCCTCTCACATGAGGCACTGTTCTGGCGCTGGAGTTTAGTTTTCCTCATTCAAACATGTCCGCAGGAATCCGCCGAGTTGAGTCACACAAACCTCTGGCTTTGAGTCACACTACTAGTTATCGTGGCAGTGCCAGGACGTTTCCTCCACTTAGTCATTCAGACTTCGAAAACAGGTGGCTCTGATTTGATTTAGTAGAGTGGATGCTACATGCAAAATGTTGAATATACTTTGTGACCATTGTTTAATGTTTTAAAGGGATAGTTCACCCAAGAATGTACATTTCTGTCATTAATTACTCGCCTTCATGTTGTTCCAAAACCGTAAGACTCTTGTTTGTCTTCGGAACACAAATTAATATTTGATGAACTCCGAGAGCTCTCTGACCCTCCATAGACAGCAAGGGCACTACCACGATCAAGGTCCAGGAACGTAGCATGGGCATCATTAAAACAGTCCATGTGACATCAGGGGTTCAACTGTAATTTTAAGAAGCTACAAGAATGCTTTTCGTGTTTGTTGAATAAAGGCGTTATTTTTGTTTTCTTTGTGCACAAAGTTTTCTTGTAGCTTTGTAAAATTATGGTTGAACCCCTGATGTCACATGGACCGTTTTAACGATGGTGGTAGTTCCCTTGCTGTCTATGAAGGGTCAGAGAGATCTCGGAGTTCATCAAGAATATCTTAATTTGTGTTCCGAAGATGAATGAAGGTCTTGGGGGTGAGTAATTGACAGAATTTTCATTTTTGGGTGAACTATCCCTTTAAGAGGAGTGTTTTCGCATGTCTGCTTTAAGCATTAACACAAATTGTTGGCATCAGTGTCACTGTGAACCCATAGTTACCTAGTGGATTGTTGTACATTAATGGTGCAAGTTATGAGTGAGCAAGTCAGTGACTCTCCGATCATGTTTATCATTTTAACCTTTTATTCTTTCAGATTTGAGATAATAGACTGCAGTTGTCCCACTTGACCCCAAAAATGAAAGAAAATGCTTGCACAAATACAAATGATGCCTATAGTCAGGATAGGGCCATATTTAATAATTGACAAGAATTAAATTGAGGCTGTGAGGGACTGAAGTACAGTGCTTTCAGTAGGTTGTAGTGTTTAATATACAGGTTGTTCAGTGACGATCTCTTTCTGAAAAACTAAGCAAGCAAAAAGTCTGTAATACAGCTTTGAAAGTTGTAAAAATGACATGATCTAGAACCTTTATACAGTGCGTGCCATTGTAAAAACTGCACGTCTGTTAAATTCAACATGGCGTCTAACCCAATTTAAAGGTCCGTTGCATTTTGTTTTATTTTGCATGCAATAATGCAAATGTCACTTCCTTGTCTGACCGTTTGTTGCTGTCTGTCTCTTCAGGAGAAGGAGGAGCAGCCATCTAAGTCCTCTGAGGAAGAAGAGGAGGAGGAAGAGGAACAGTAACTAGCAACTCGTGCTACCTCACAATCCAACATTATTTCTTCCTGTTGACCAGAGCTGGACTGACCCTCCCCATTCCCCCTCTTACACTAGTGCCACCCTCACCCTCCAATTCACCTTTACGCTCTAGCGCACCCTAGCGTCAGGGAGGCTTGCACACTTCATGCGCCTTCTCTGTGTAACACCACTGGAAAAAGACTCAAAATACTGTATGTCCATTCGTGGATGCATGCACACGTGTATGTCTCGCACTCAATGGCTAATTGGTCGAAAGTGTCTGTCATTATACTGGACAAAGATATGCTCTGATGGCGGCTTGACACAAAGCGATTTGCAAAATACTGAAGTTTTCTCTTTTTTTCACAAGCAACCGTTTCAGGCCTTGAGAATTCAAGTTTATTTTTACACGTCTAAATCTAAAATATGGTAGGTTGTGTGAAATTCATGTCGTTATGTACTGGACAAAGGTGAATTGACCTACTCGTTGTTTTTACTTGGGTTGTGTGTGCGTGTGTGGTAACTCTGTCTCCAGTTAAACTCTTAGAATAAAATTAGCGTATTTTTTTTGAGTGCGCATAACCTAGAGGACTTTTAACTTGTAATCAACATCATTGAATGCTTTGTTGTGAAACATTTTTGACTTCCTTTTGTTTGTTTAATAATGCCCTCTGCCGACTTGCCACCATCATGATTTCACTGATACCCGCAATAAATTTACTGGCACGCGAAAGCTAAGTAGTCAGTCTAAGTCTGTTCTCAGTGTAGTTCAGTTTCCTGGATGTGCTAAGGAACAGTTTGCTCGTCTGGCCTGTTCGAAATGTTATGGAGGACGATTGGTTTTAATTGCGGAAATTATTAAATGTTTTACCACCAACTGATCCTTGCTCCAAAAAAGGCACCGCAAATGATTAGACACCAGCAGTGCTTTTAATTGTATCGGCCCCAAACCCGTGAATTACACGCGAACATTTAATCTTTTTTTTATAGAAAATGCTAATCATTCCATTTGCTCGCAAATTCTTTGTGAACTTCCCAGCCGTGTCGCTTCTTCTGTCCCATTACAGTCCACTCAGACGACTTTCACTTGATGTGTTTTAGGTTTTTGTTTCGTTTTCTTCATGGGTTTTTTCTTTCTTTTTTTGACGTGTTAAATTCCATGTCAGGGAACGCTGATCGGTCCAGTGACTACACTAGTGCCACCCTCACCCTCCAATTCACCTTTACGCTCTAGCGCACCCTAGCGTCAGGGAGGCTTGCACACTTCATGCGCCTTCTCTGTGTAACACCACTGGAAAAAGACTCAAAATACTGTATGTCCATTCGTGGATGCATGCACACGTGTATGTCTCGCACTCAATGGCTAATTGGTCGAAAGTGTCTGTCATTATACTGGACAAAGATATGCTCTGATGGCGGCTTGACACCGACTCAGACAGCTTTTGCTTGATGTGTTTTGGGATTTTTGTTTCGTTTTCTTCATGCTTTTTTTTTTCTCTTTTTTTTGACGTGTTAAATTCCATGTCAGGGAACGCTGATCGGTCCAGTGACTGGGTCTCCTCTCAGAACTTAATGCTGCTACTAACATGGTTAATTAAACCCGGAATACTGCAACCAGGTCAGTTCTACTCTGGACTTGACCGTCACGTTCATACCTCACTTTACAACACCCTATGATGGATTACTCTTCTCTTTCTTGACGATGTTCAACTGGTCTTCAGTGCAGCCTTTGGCAAGCGTGTTTGTTTCTGATCCATTTACAGCCGACTCCGGTGTGGGTTTTTTTGTTGCGTTTTTGTTTCGTTTTAAACTAATTTCGCTTACAGCAGTGTGCATCAATGAACAGAAACTGTTTTTCATATATAAACATCTGGACACACCACAGGAATGACTGCATTGGGTCAGAGAGATGCAAAACATATTCACAGACTGTGGTAGAGATATAGGTTTGTGTGTTTTTAGTTTATTTTTCTATACATACTCGTTTGGTGCACTGAATTGACTTTTTGATTTGATATATCATGGACAAAATGATTTGGTGTGGCACCTGAAGGTTAGGGCGTTTTTTTTTTTTGTTTTTCTCTTTCACTCTAAAAACTGCTGGGTTGTTTCAACCCAAATTTGGGTCAAATATGGACTAAACCAACTTTTGGGTTAAAACGGTTGGGTTAGTCCATATTTGACCCAAAGTTGGGTTGAAACAACCCAGCAGTTTTTTTTTTAGTGTTCTCTTTATAATAAACTACATCCTGCTAGTTGCTTAGCCCTGAGCCTGTTTAGTAGATCGTGATGGTACTATGGCTGTTTGACGCAGTGGTTTTTAACATGCCCCTTCAATACTGATGTCTTGGTTTTATGTGCCCGTGCACACAACTGGTTTGGGATCAGTCTTTTCAATGTATACACTCTGCATTTTCTATTGTGGACTGCAGGAATTTATATTCAAAATGGTAATAAAGTTAAGAATTCGTACATATATTTGTGTGGCTGTATTTTTGCTATGAAGTATTACTTTTAACCAACACAAATCCCCACTGTAAGAAATCCTGTGTGTCTAGAAGTGGTGCTATGCGACTAGAAATAAATTGCATCAGATCTTCCTTAACCGTTAACTTCTAAATGGTGATAATGACGTTTTGTCCTTCGCTTGGTTTCCATTTTTGGCCCTGACCACAGACAACTCGGATTGGTCCAAAATCTCCATCTATATGGTTGCATGGACTTTTCACAAAATTTGATGCATTTCTGCTTTAAAAGTTCATCTAGACAATTTTTAAATTAAATGTAAATGAAATGTTTTAAATGTTAAATTAAAATCATGAGTATCTGAGATCATGGAAACATGCGATTGTTTAGCTACCGATATAGATTGCCAAGCAGGTCTGATAAAATGCGGTAAACCTGGTTCTGCAATGCATTGGACAAACCAGAAATCATTTCACACCTATTCCTGCACCCATCTTCATTCACTTTTCCCTGACTTCAACCCCGCTTTCCATACAGTCAACCAGCTCAGTTTCTGATCATTCGTTCTTCCATGTGTTGGTTTTCTAGAGAAACAAAACATAATGACCAAATGCCTCAATATAAGAATAATTAATGTGACCCTGGACCACAAAACCAGTCATAAGGGTCAATTTTTCCAAAATTGAGATTTATACATCACCTGAAAGCTGAATAAGCTTTCCATTGATGTATGGTTTGTTAGGATCGGACAATATTTGGCCGAGATACAACTATTTGAAAATCTGGAATCTGAGGGTGCAAAAAAATCAAAATATTGAGAAAATCGCCTTTAAAGTTGTCCAAATGAAGTTCTTGGCAATGCATATTACTAATAAAAAAATTAAGTTTTGATATATTTACGGTAGAAAATTTACAAAATATCTTCATGGAACATGATCTTTACTTAATATCCTAATGATTTTTGGCATAAAAGAAAAAATAATTTTGACCCATGCAATGTATTTTTGGCTATTGCTACAAATATACCCCAGCGACTTAAGACTGCTTTTGTGCTCCAGGGTCACATTTTAGCACAAGCAGGTCTGTAACACGTCCTGACACCGACTGGCACCAGCTACTATCCTGTGACGTCCGCAGCAGACGGGACAAAAGCCAGTTTGCTATACCTAACATTCACCTAAAGCACTCAGATTTTTATTGTCTGTTTTGGTATTGTGCAGCCACCTTTTTTTTGCATGTGCAACACTTCCGATTCATTAGCTGCGATAGGTAAATAACTCAAAGAAAAACAAAGTGCATTAAATGGTGAAAATGTGCTGTTTATGACTACAATAATTACTTTTTATTATAATTTAATTATAATAATTACTTTTAAGGATATGCACAAAATATTAATCGCTGGACTGGTGTGGATGCTTGTGATGTGTTTATCAGCTGTTTGGACTCTCGTTCTGATGGCACCCATTCACTGTGCTTCGTTTTCAGCAAATTTTCAATTTTGGGTGAATTACTGCTTTAATATGATATGATACCAAATGCCAGTTTGCAGTTTCAAGCAGCATAACGGTTTTTGCACAGCTAAAATAACTACAAGTGGCACAGATTTGTTACAAATGGTTGCAGCTGATATTATGCTAAAAATATGGTGAATACTGTATAGTTGAACACATTTGCTGACAATTACTTGACAGTTTTTGATTGTTTGATTGAAATGTCTGTGTACATTTGTACTCAGGATGCACAGCTACTTTTGGCTGTTAATAAAGGCTGTAAAAAAAGTCAAAAGATAAAAAGCAGTTGAAGGTGTGCTTACAGGGATGAGTTCAATGGGACTAAATGACTGCAGAGGGCCTACAGACGTCACCAGAGAGAAGTCTAGTTTTCACTGGAAGATCCAGTTATGACATTTTGATGCTGAAATTATGTCAAAAAAAAAAAGGTCTAGCTTCCAGTTTCATCTGCATCCAGCTATTTTTAGCTGTACAAAACAGCTCATTTTGCTGCATGATATTTCAAACTGGTGTGTCTTCCCATATTATTTTCATGTATAGTCTTAATTAAGAACGCACTAGTTTGTAGCGCGTAGTAAATTCTAAACCATTTTTAGAATTTACTGCATGCTGTTACTCTTCTCGTTATACATTCACGGAAAATTGCTTATTAGTTGAAAAATAAGGTGGATACATTTTTCACGATAACATCGGTAACATACATTTAGGCAACATATGGGGTGAATTTTCATTTCACGCCGACTTTAAAGGAGACATATTATGCCCCTTTGTACAATATGTAATATAAGTCTCTGGTGTGCCCAGAATGTGTCTGTGAAGTTTCAGCTCAAAATACTCCACAGATCATTTATTATATCATTTTGAAAATGCCTATTTTGAGTGGAAGCAGAAACACGCTGTTTTTCATGCCTGTGTCTTTAAATGCAAATGAGCTGCTGCTCCCCGCCCCCTTTTCCAGAATAGAGCTGCGCCATTACAGCTCGTACCTGCTCGTAACATCTGTTTTGGTTCTGGTTATCATGTTTATCGAGCTGAAATCATGCGTTTTAAACCATATGAGTTTAAACTTTGATATACGGGTTTTCTGAGCGCACACATCCGACGCACACGCACAGAAAGCGGCTGTCACAGCATGTGAGTACTAAACTAAGTTCTCATTCACACACAAGTTTACGTTAAACACACACGAGTTACAAAAACAGTCGGTTATGTCTGTGAAGGTAAACTGCTGGGAAATAAATCGCATGTTTATTTTAGATCTGTGTGGCAGCAGCAATATACAGTAAATAAATCAATAAATCCACTGCTCTGTTGTCTCCTCTGAGGCTGGGACTCTAAACAGTGTTCTGTGCTCGTCTGTGCAGCTAAAGACAGAACAGTTAGCATGTTTTGCTCAAACTTTCGCCATGGCATTAGAGCTGGTTCACCGTTGTCGCTTGCGGAAACACAATAATGGCGCCGTGGGTGTAAACTTACAGATTAAGAGGCAGTAATATTATAATGAGATCCCTTTGCCACGTCACCAAGGGAGCGAAATCTGACGCGCTCGTTTTCTCAGACGCTTGCAGAAAAAGGCTTACCAAAACAAAGTTACTGGGTTAATCTTTTTCACGTTTCCTTGGTTGGTAGATGCACCGGGGACCTGATTATAGCACTTAAAACCTGGAAAAGTCAGATTTTCATGATATGTCACCTTTAAAGGGATAGTTCACCCAAAAATGAAAATTCTGTCATCATTTACTCACCGTCATCTCCAAACTTATAAGTGTTTCCTTCTTATGTGGAGCATAAAATAAGATATTTAATAAAAAAAAGTCCCGTTTTTTTTTCTGTACCATTAAATTCACTTGCTTCCCATGTCGATTGGACTCCAATCCGGCGTTCAGGAAACGAGTGTCGTAACAAGGCGAGTCACTTGACAAACTAGTTTACATAGAGAATGAAAAATAAAACAGATTCTTGAGCGCTCGAGTGCCATTTTAGCAGATCACATTCATGCACACTCAGTAAAACGACCAGCTCTCGTGAGGATTTAATAGCACAGAACATCAGCAGAATATATACAGCTAAAATAAATAAACAACTGTAACACAGAGGCGTATTAACATCCTTCTTGAGTCTTGCTATTCAGACTGCTTCATGAGAACAGACCTGAGGCGAACGATATGATCCCATCGCTTCACTGTAGATTTCTCATGTCCCTAAAGCTCTTCCAGTCTCAGCACTTCAAACAGTGGGAAAATCAGTAGCTTATTGCTCAAAAATGTCCGTCTTGGGAATCTGCAATACAGGACGACGAGACAGTGTTGCGTTATTGACCAGGTTCACAGATTATGTGCAGAATCACCAAAAGTTAAAGCTGATTTTCATGCATCAGGATCCTTCGAGAGCAGGGGTCTGCGCTGCTGATACGTCCTCATCCAACCCTGGACCACCTGGAAATGCAAAAAAAAGAGAAAGGTTTCTCAGACTTCGACGTGGTTTATTACAGTGCTGAACAGGTTTTCCACACAGGCTCGTCTTGACACGCAAGCAACTGGCTGTAAATATGTGGAGATGTGTGTAAATCCACTCGTAGGTTGTTGTCATAGGGCTGAAACATTTAAAATTCCCATTTCTTAAAGGGGTCATATGATGCGATTTCAATTGTTCCTTTCTCTTTGGAGTGTTACAAGCTCTTGGTGCATAAAGAAGATCTGTAAAGTTGCAAAGACTAAAGTCTCAAATCCAAAGAGATATTCTTTATAAAAGTTAAGAGTCAGCCACGCCTACCTAAAACGGCTCGTTCTAACACGCCCCCACATGTCTACGTCACGATGTGGGAAGATTTGCATAACGCCGCCCAAATGTTCACGCAAAGAAAGAAGGGGTAACTTTTATTCTCGCTGTAGTATTGTTGTTATGAACACGAGGATGCATTTTACAAATAATTGTAGTTTTGGTATGTTTTTGATGAAATGCCTCAGTTCCACAAATGATGCTTTTTGGACTGCTTTTATTTTGTTAAAGTATATTGCTTTGAGGTACTTAAAGGGGTCATACGATGCGATTTCAAGTTTTCCTTTCTCTTTGGAGTGTTTTAATCTGTTTGTGCATTTATAAGATCCGTAAAGTTGCAAAGACTAAAGTCTCAAACTCAAAGAGATATTCTTTATAAAAGGTAAGACTTGTCCACGCCTACCTAAAACGGCTCGTTCTAACACGCACCCCCACATGTCTATGTCACTGTGTGGGAAGATTTGCATAACGCTGCCCCAATTGTTCACGCAAAGAAAGAAGGCGTAACTTTTATTCTCGCTGTTGTATTGTTGTTGCCACCGCCATGTTGTGAAGACGCTGTGTGTTTCGTTGTGAAAGTGAAACTACTTTGTTTCCAAAAGAGGACAATATCCGCTTTGTCATGCCTGGAGTTGATCCGTGCTGGTCGCTGAGGGAATACATCAACTTCGCTGTGGATCGCCGGATCGGCTTTCACCGTTGGACGAAGCGGAGTCCAGCCCGGGGTCGTCACATGTGGTTGCCGCAAGCCCTCCGGCCGCCGCTCACTCAAGTCCGCCGCGTGTTTCGTTGTTCAAGCGAAACTACTTTGTTTGGTCTTCCAAAAGAGGACACAACTACAAATCAGTGGTTAAGTTGTGTACCTTAAACCGCATAAACACATTTCATTACACCAAATACACAAAATAATGTTCTTTTTAGCAACGTCATATGGCCCCTTTAAATGTACTTTTCACACCAAAATTAAACATGATACGGTCTTGTCATCATGCCACGTAGCACGTTTAATGTTCAACCTTTTTTACAGTTTCTCTCAGGCACTAAAACAAAGGACATGAATATTTAATGATGCAGGTTTGGTTCAGTTTACCACTGGTTTACTGTTGCTAAACAACTTGCTGTAAACCACTGCACTGTCATTTGCAATGCAGCTAGGAAAAGACTTAGAATAGACTTTTCTGTTAGAATAGAAAAGGCTCCTGTCCAAACTGTTGCTATAAAATTAGATGCAACATTAAGATTTGCACTAATGGAAATAGTCAAAACTGTTCGTTAGAAGGGGGTGTCCCAATACTTTTGGCAATATAGTGAAATGTAATTTATTGCTGTGAAAATAGCATAATATTTTCAGCATCATTACTCCAGTCTCAAGAAACATTTTTGAATATGATCAATATTGAACACAGCTGTACTGCTTCATATTTTTGTGGAGTTCAAGAGAATAGCATTTATTTGAAATAGAAATGTCTTCACTGTCACCTTTGATCAATTTAATGAGTCCTCGCTGAATAAAAGTATTAATATTGGTAGAGAACATTTTAAAGGGATAGTTCACCCAAAAATGAAAATTCTGTCATTAATTACTCACCCTCATGTCGTTCCAAACCCGTAAGACCTTCGTTCATCTTCGGAACACAATTTAAGATATTTTTGATGAAATCTGAGCGCTCTCTGATCCTCCCATAGACAGCAACACAACTGAAATGTTCCCAGGTCCAGAAACGTAGCAAGGACATCGGTAAAATAATCCATGTGATATCAGGGGTTAATCCGCAATTATACGAAGCTACGAGAATACTTTTTGTGCGCAAAAGAAAAAAAAAAAAACGACTTTATTCAACAATTCATCTCCTCCGCATCACCCTGTAGCGCCATTTTGGAGAATATCCGCTGGATGTAAACAGCGTATGCTGTTCTGTGTCAGCTGTGGCACGCGGATACGTTGTTTACGTTCAGATCAAATCACAACAACGTAGGAAACAGATCCTGCGTGACGCAGCTGACACAGAACAGCATACGCTGTTTACATCCAGCGGATATTCTCCAAAATGGCGCTACCTGGGAACATTTCAGTTGTGTTGCTGTCTATGCAGGGTCAGAGAGCTCTCAGATTCCATCAAAAATATCTTAGTGTTCCGAAGATGAACGAAGGAAGGTCTTACGAGTTTGAAACGACACGAGGGCGAGTAATTAATGACAGAATTTTCATTTTTGGGTGAACTATCCCTTTAACATTTGCTTTCAGTATTGCACTGGGAGTCAGCATTAGACATCAGCAGTTTTCATCTCATAACAGGATGGATTACCTTTGTGTCCTCCTCTTTCCAAAGAATGTCCTGTTCTGCCTCGTTCAGCTCTTCGGTTGGGTCATAAGTGTAAACTGGAAGCAGCTGATGCCGCAGTCTATCAATCCTAAAAGTGCAGAGACACACAGGCAGAAAAAAAATGTATTAATTCCCTTCATCATCCACTTACATTATATGAAAAACAGAGGGACAGGCATTCTGCCTAACATCTACTTCTGTGTTACAAAGAAGAAAACAAAGGCTGTATTTATTAAACACAGTAATACAGTGATATACAATTCTCAATCGTTTTCTAATGTAATTTATTCCTGAGAATTTTCAGCATCATTCCTCCAGTCTTCAGTGTCACATGATCCTTCAGAAATCATAATAATATGCTGATTTGCTGCTCAAGAAACATTTCAAATTATAATCAACATTAACGCCAACAATAATAGTAATAATAATAATTATTATTATTATTATTTTGTGTAAATCATGATACAATACCATTCAATAGTTTGAGGTAAGTATTAGATTAAAAGAAAGAAAGAAAAAATGATATTTTATTAGTTTACTAATTCTTAATAGTGCTGTCAAACGATTAATCGCGATCCAAAATAAAAGTTTTAGTTTACATAATATGTGTGTGCTGTGTATATTTATTATGTATATATAAATACACATACATGTACATATTTTCAAAATATATACTGTGTGTATGCATTTATATATTTATATTCTTATATTTTATATTATATATAAATATATTTAATATATAAACATACATATTTTTCTTAAATATATGCATGCGTGTGTTTATATATACATAATAAATATACATAGCACACACATATGTAAACAAAAACGTTTATTTTGGATGCGATTAATCGTGACCACTAATTTTTAATGAAGAGAAATGAATACTTTTATTCAACAAGGATGCATTAAATTGATCAAAAGTGACAGTAAAGACATTCATAATGTTACAAAAGATTTCTATTTCAAATAAAGGCTGTTTTCTGAACTTTCAATTCATCAAAGAATGCATCGCAGTTTCGACAAAAATATTAAGCCGCAAAAACTGCTTTCAACATTGATAATAATAAGAACCATTATTAATACTTAAGCATAAATAAATATATACATTTGATCATAATTATTTCTGAAGAATCACGTGACACTGAAGAAGTAACGATGCTGAATATTCAGCTTTGATCACAGCAATCAATCACAATTTACAATATATTCAAATGAGAAAACTTTTCAATTGTAATATTATTTGACAATATTACAATTTTTTCTACATTTTTGATCAAATAAATGCAGCCTTGGTGTGCAAAAGAGATTTATTTCTAAAAAACTGTAATTATTCCAAACATTTGATATCTTTCAAAGAGTGCTGGAGTATGGTTAATTACCTCCGTTTCCTCTTTATGTACATCACCTATAAAACAAGAAGACACATTAGCATTTTACTACAGTAACATAATGCCTGGAACACATATAAACCAGTTACACCAATTCATAATGTCTGTAAGACTACTTCAGCTGTGGAAGTAAGGAAAAATGCAGCTGACAAGCATTTTGCGCACGCAGTCAAGACACATTCATAAAAGAATAAAGGCCTTTTGTCTTTATGGATGTACTGCTCAATCAAATTACTCCATCATGCGACTTCACATTCTTCCCCAATTGAGCTCACAGACAGACACTGTTAGAATCACCCTGAAGAGACATGCATGCTACCTAGTAAACACTGCTGATGCATGCTACCTATTAAACACTGCTGATGCATGCTACCTAGTCAACACTGTTGATGCATGCTACCTAGTAAACACAGCAGATGCATGCTACCTAGTAAACACTGCTGATGCATGCTACCTAGTAAACACTGCTGATGCATGCTACCTAGTAAACACTGCTGATGCATGCTACCTAGTAAACACTGCTGATGCATGCTACCTAGTAAACACTGCTGATGCATGCTACCTATTAAACACTGCTGCTTTGCTGTTATATATGCCAGCACCTACCACTGCTGCAACAATCCCGAGGGCAGTGATGAGGAAGAAGGGGACCAGCACGTAGCTGACGGCTGCGTCTCCGCTGATGGTGTGAGGGGGGTTAGTGGTGCTGTTCATGGTGTAACACACTCAGACCGGGGCTGTGCTTCTGGCATCTGTTTACTGCTCATCTTCTGCACTCATGTGACTCCCACATGGTCTCTCTGCCTTCACTAATGACTGTCAGATCCAACAGAGTACACTTATTTATGGAATAGGACGCAGACAGGAATGCTGGAAAACAACTAGAAAGTGTTAATCATTTTATTTCAGAGTTGTGTGCACTTTATCTATTAGATCTCTCATATTTACTTTTTTTTGATAGATTATTTACTTGGGCGTATACTTTCTCTTTTACAACACCTTTTAACTGCGCTGGGTGAATCTCACAAAACAGGTTCAGGTCACAGTTCACTTCGAAATTAATTTTTTTTTTTTTAAATTGTGCCAATTTCTTTACAATAATTCCCCTCTTTAATCTTTATTACCATAATGTTTGGATTTTTTTTATTTATTACTTATTTGTAATTTCGTTTACTCTCATTACTGTAATGCAGCAATGTTGTAAAACGTACACAGATTTATTATTATTATTATTTAAATCTGCATTTAAATCAAAGCAGTACAAATAAAATACCATAATATAGTTTTGCAATTTTAAGTAATATATTATTGCAATAATAAAAGTTTTTAGCATTTAATGAGAATTTTGTAGGCCTATTATGGTTATACTATGTGTTTGAGCATATAATGCGGTATTGTTTAACGAACCGTGTAAATACCACGGTTTAGAAATATTATATTCATAATCATATTGTGCTGTCGTACACCAAAGCAGCATGTTTTCTAAAGCAGTTGACACAACAGGACTGTCATCAGTCATTTAATATACAAACTTATATTTATATTAAGGGAAGATAACATTTTGATTTAATACGTCCAGCCAAGGGCCAATATAACGAGAAAGCGTCTATGTTGCACATGACTATGCGGGAAAAACCCGCATCCAGTGGCATTATCTGCTACCATTTGTCTACGTTAGTTGCATTACTATGGTGAGCAGTAATGATAGCCTCAATGTCATCATGATAATTATGAGCGCTAATAGCACTGCTGCGTCTGCTGACTCACGTGAAAGCATCATGACCAGTCAAACTTCACCATCGAGCTGTTAAAGCAAACCCACCTGATCCAGTCAGAAGAGCCGGAGGAGTGTCACTTCACTATAAGCAGACTCCAAATCCAGTTATTATAACACAAGTCCTGAGTTTTGTCTGACATTAAAGCGCCACTGTCAGTGTTTACGGAAAGCAAGTCCAGCAGTGAAAACGAAACGACGACGGTGGAGCTGGAGGAGGAGCTACACTGTTCCCAATGAACGCTACGAACAGCAGATGTCGCCACTGCATTATCATATCATATAATATATCATAATATATCATATCACAATATATCACATCATATCATAATATATCATATCTTATCTTAATATATCATATCACAATATATCACATCATATCATAATACATCATATCATAATATATCATATCACAATATATCACATCATATCATAATATATCATATCTTATCGTAATATATCACAATATATCACATCATATCATAATATATCACATCATATAATATATCATATCACAATATATCACATCATATAATATATCATATCTTATCGTAATATATCATATCATATCACAATATATCACATCATATCATAATATATCATATCTTATCATAATATATCTTATCTTATAATATATCATATCATAATATATCACAATATATCACATCATATCATAATATATCATATCTTATCGTAATATATATCATATCACAATATATCATCACATCATATCATAATATATCATATCATAATATATCATATCTTATTATAATATATCATATCTTATCTTATAATATATCATATCATAATATATCATATCATATCACAATATAATCACATCACAATATATCACACCATATCATAATATATCATATCACAATATATCACACCATATCATAATATATCATATCTTATCATAATATATCATATCAATCATAATATATCATATATCATATCACAATATATCACATCATATCACAGTATATCACATCATATCATAATATATCATATCTTATCGTAATATATCATATCATATCACAATATATCTATCAATCAATATATCACACCATATCATAATATATCATATCACAATATATCACATCATATCATAATATATCATATCTTATCATAATATATAATATCTTATCAATCATATAATATCAATCATAATATATCATATCATAATATATCATATCACAATATATCATATCATATCAATCATATAATATCATATCAATCAAATCATAATATATCATATCTATCAAGAAGAAATGTTAGTTTATCTTGTGTAATTTTTGCTTATTAGTATGGTTGAATTGGATCATCGAAGGTCAGCAGCAAATTGGTTAATAAAATGGGAT